TCTCTATTGTGTTCTTCACTTCCTTCTGAGCTCTCATCAGAATTTCCTTTAACATTCAGATTTCCATCTCTTCAAGGCAATCTAGGCTTTTTCTTTCATGCACCTCAAAATCCTTCCAGCCTCTATCCATTACCCAATTCGAAAACCACTTCCATGTTTTCAGTTTTGTTACAGCAGCACCCCCTCTTCCCAATACCAAAAACTGTTAGTTGCTTAGGGCTACCAAACCGGATGGCCTAAAACAAGGGAAATTTGTTCTCTTAGAGTTCTGAAGGTAGGAACTCCTAAGTCTGTAGGGTAGGCCACTCTCACTGAAGGCCTTGGGGGAGAATCCTTCCTTGCTTCTCTCAGTTTATGGTGACTCCATGGGCTCTGTGGCTTGTGGTAACATAACTCCAATCTCTGCCTCTGTCTTCACATGGCTGTCTACTCTGCCCGCATATATCAAATCTTCCTTTCCTTTCTCTTGTAATAACACCAGTCACTGGATTTAGGGCTGACCCTAACTCCAGGATGATCTGGAGGTCTTAAACTTAATTACATCTGCAAAGACCCTATTTCCAAATAAAGTCACATTCAGAGGTACCCGGGGGTTAGGACTTGGACATATCTTTTTGAAGGCTACCATACATCTCACTACAAAGGCTTTTTGGGGAAATGATTGATTACAAATCTGAAACAGTAAATGCACACAATGAGCCAGGAACATCTTGACACTCCAGATAGAAAGAAGCCATCAAAGACTACTAAGGTCATGTCATAAGAACTCAGGAGTCAATTTGAAGAGGCTCCCAATGACCAAAGACAGAACAATTTGAGCACCAATGAAGAAAAGAGCTGCAATGAATTGGAAAAGATCAAATATCTTTAAATTCATGTGCCCAAAGTAATTTTTTTAAAAATTGAATTAGTTCCCTCATGAAGGTAACAGGGAACCAACTTGCCATCTTGTAACCTAGGTAAATAAAATGAAAGAATCAAGCCTTTATCTTGCTTTTCAGATATGAACTATACTACTGGGTAATCAAATAGTAGATAAGGAGTATTTCATGAAAATTATCCCAGTTAACATATGGAAACAAAATGATAGAATTTTATTACCACTATTTTGCAACCACTATGAATTAATAGATCGAGGCATTGAAGATCAATGGCTGGTAACATCAAGAAAGAACAAAAACCAGACATTATGTGCCTCCAGATGAAAGAACATCTTTGTTTGCCAAAGGGATAGAAGAGGGGTCTATCTGGATCCCACTGCCAATTTGCAGAAAATACAGAGGACAAAGTGACAAAACCATGTATCATGATTCTGCAAACAGCAGAATCCAGACTGTGAGAAACTCTATGAGTTCTTTCACCAATAAATCTGTAAGCAATGAAAGGAATGAAGGAGAATCTGTACATTAAAAAAAGGACTTAAGAGAGACGTGACGTCAGCGACATGGCTGAGTGAGCTCACCCAGGAGTCTCTCCCCTCCAAACTACAACCAAAAAGGAACAACTGAATTTCAACCAAAAATTCTAATAACACAGAGATTGTCAGAGACCTACAGCAGCCAAATGATGGAGGGCGGAGAGACTGGAGCCGCCCTCGGAGGAGCTGGAACAGGGTAAAAGAGATCTTCGCTCCCTCCCCTAGAGACTGGGATCGCTGCTGTGGGTGAGGGAAGGAGCAGGAGAGGGGCCACATGTCTACGGGATCATCCAGGACTCCCACCACCCATGCAGCAGAAACCTGCTAACAGGGGAAAGCTTTCACGTGCAGGGACCCCATCAAGCCAAGGCCCTGTGAAACCAGAGAGTGAGAGCTGATTGGAATATAGGTCTGCACGTGAGAGAAAGTGTCCCTCCTCCACGAACCCGCGCTGCACGCCGCCATCATGGCTGAAGGCGGAGGGCTCAGAACGCATGGCTCCCGATCCCCATCTAGTGGCGAGAGGCTGTAACTGCAACCGAATAATAGCATCATGCGTAAAAACTGCTCCTCTACCATCCAGTAATTTATAAAAGCTCCAGACCAGAAGGAAAACAATAAAAACACAGAATTAAGTCCAGAGGACTTGGAATTAGGTAAACTAAGTGAAAATGAGTTCAGAGTAGCTATCATCAAAAAACTCAATGAGGTAAAGGGAAATATAGAGAAACAAGTCAACGAGTTCCGGAATTACTTCACAAAAGAGGTTGAAACTATAAAGAAGAATCAATCAGAAATACTAGAGATGAAAAATACAATGGATCAGATAAAACAGAATACGGATTCCCCAAATGCACGGGTAGACACCATAGAGGAGAAAATTAGCATAATCGATGATAGGCTGAATGGCTCCAAACAGAGGAAGAAAGAGAACTAAGAATTTTAAAAAATGAAGAAAATCTCCAAGAAATAGCGGACTCAATGAGGAAATCCAATTTAAGAATTATCGGAATCCCTGAGGGCATGGAAAAGGAAAATGGAACAGAAAGTGTGCTCAAAGAAATAATAGAAGAAAATTTCCCAAATCTAGGGATTGAGGGAGAAATGTGTGTGAAGGAAGCTTTCAGATCTCCTAGATTTGTCAATGTAAAAAGACCTACTGCAAGGCATATAGTAGTAAAAATGGCAAAAATGAATGACAAAGAAAGAATACTCAGGGCAACAAGGCAGAAGAAAATAACCTACAAAGGAACTTCTATCAGACTTTCAGTGGATTTCTCTACAGAAACCTTACAAGCTAGGAGAGAATGGAGTGACATATTCAAAACTTTAAAGGATAAAAATCTTCAGCCAAGAATACTCTATCCAGCAAAAATATCCTTCAGATATGAGGGAGAAATTAAATCTTTTCCAGACAAAAAAAAAAGCTAAGGGACTTTGTAGCCAAAAGACCTCCACTACAAGAAATCCTCAAGAAGGCTCTCATAGCTGAAAAAAGAAAAAAAGGGAGAAAGGAGTCACAAATCAGAGAGTAGGGAGACAGATAGAACCAGAATAGGATAGCAAATATTCAACTATAGCATTAGGATAAAGGGAAGGAAACCACCAAAGCAAAGACGATCTTATCACTCTAACCACAAACTCACAACACGAGTTGGAATAAGAGATGAAAATAATAATTTAGGAGGGGAAGAAGAAAGGGACTAAATCAGTCTAGGCCAAGTAAGTAAAAAAAGGACTTAAAAAATATATCAAGTTTTAAAGAAATGAGCAGACTAAAACTACCATGTCAAGGGATGCACACCTGAATAACAAAACTATCAAGAAACTCAGGGGGGTGACTTTTATAATTAAAAGTCAGGAAATGGTTACTTCTGGAAGAAGTGTGGGGACTGTGATTAATACGGGGAATATGAAGGGGATGCTGGAGTGGCTGGAAAAGTTCTACTTCTGTGGTTTATTTGTTTGTACTTGTATTTTAAATTTACAATGAAGATGATTTTTAAAAAAAATAGTCTCCATTGAGTTTAGCAATACTGACAAAAAAGTTTCAACAGAGCTATAGAACAAAAGTTAGATTGCAGTGAGATAAGGAACAAAAGGAAAGTTAGAAATGGAGACAATACATGTAGGATACTGCTTCTAGAAGTGCAGCTGAGAAGGGAAGGAGAGAGAGCCATAGTTTTAGAATGGCATAGAGCAAAAAAAGGTTTTCTCTTCTCTTTTTGTGTGTTTGCTTTAAAGTAAACAAGACTTGAACATCTTCAGGTGCCAAAGGGAAAGAAAAAATAGAGAGGAGAATGTTGGAGAATCACCTGAGAGAAAGATAACTGACAGAGCAAGACCCATGAGGAGACTAAAGGGAATATGACCCAGAAAATAGGGAGCAGGTTGACCTTAAGTAGGAGGCTTAAAGTGGTCATTTCTCCTACGACAGTGGAAAGGGAACAAAGAATGAACTTTAATTTGGGGTGAGCTTAGAGATGGAGGGCTAGCAGCAGAAAGCTGAGGAAGTTCCCACTCTCTGATCTCTATTTTCTCTGCGAAACATGAAGGAGGTGATATGCTAATACAAGTGGTGGATGGGGAGCATAAGGTATTCAGTGAAGGTTTAAAATGTCCAAAGTGGTGTTGAAAGTTCCATAGAGATTGAGAACTGAATTTGTAGAGGTACCAATCTACGCCATTTTGCCATTTTCTTCAACAACTTGGATGGAGAGTTAAAGAAATTAAATTAAAGTTAAATTGATGAACTGTTTATTGTTCATTTATTTTTCAGATCAGCCTAATTGGGCAGGGGAGTGGAAACCATTGGGGAGGAACTGGTGGAGGTGATGGGGAAGGAAGGAAAGGAGGGTACTGATAAAACGGGGCCAAGGGAGGAGATAACTCCAAGGTTTAAGAGACTAAGTGAATAGGGATTTAGGGACAAAAACAGATTTAGGAGGAAAGACGATGAGTTCATTTTTAATATTTCAGGTTTCTATGTCCAGTTCTATATGTGAATCCAGATGCACAGAAAGAAGATCTGGCCTGAAACTACAGATTTGTGAGTCATTGGCTTAAAGATAGTAACTGAAGCCATGAAAATATATAGAGTAAAAATAGAATATTAAAAAAAAACCTGAAGAAAGAATCCTGATAAACACCCTTGTTTAAATGTCAGGTAGAGAAATAGCAGCTATCAAGGGACCCTGGGATCGATAGGCCAGAGAGGAAAGGAAAAAATCCAGGTGAGGGTTGTCCCAAAAGTCCAGAAAAGAGTTTAATGGAGAAAGTGATCAAAATGTCAATGCTGGGGAGATCTACAAAGAGGACTATCTAAAAGATGTCTTGCTCATCTTTGTTTTCTTAGTGTCTAGGAAAATGTGTGGCACATAAATGGAACTCAGTAAGTGTAAATTTTCATGGTGTGTCCTTCCAATACCTGCCAGTCTCATTGTTAGGGTAGTGAAAAATGCAAAAAAGATATACAAGGAGGAAGGAAGGAAGGGAGGGATGGAGGAAGGGAACGGGAAAGGGAGGGAGAAGGGAGAGTAGGGGAGGGAAAAGGAAAAAGAAAGGAAAAACATATCTCACTCACCTCAAATGCTCCATGTCGCCTGCACGTCTCTTTATCCCAGCTCACTGAAACGCATCCTATAAAAAAGGCACAATCTAAAACTTCCCAAACCGCTTATGCCTGTAGGATACAGACTGATTCATAGCAACAGCAGAAATTCTAAGTCTCCTGGCCCAGGCCCATGTGACAAGCAGGACTTCCAGCTCCTTGAGAACTCCCTCCCCTCCCACCACCACCACAAGTGCCTCTAAAATTCAAGATGTGTCTCTCAGGTGCTCATGACAGGGTGCTGCCATTTCCCCACTATCTCCTACTGGGTGGTTCAGTTCCCCATCCTGTCACTTCAAGGGCACTGAAGTCTCCCGCTAGATGCAGCTGTTGACGCCCCACTTAACATGAGGTGCTAGAAACCCCACCAGGTGTCATTCCTCTACCAGGCACCCATGGAAGTCTTCTGTCAAGTATCACAGCTAAACAGCCAGAGGCCTCACAGTGCCAAAATTCCATGGCTATCTGTGGGGAATTGTGCCCCCTCCGCCTTGTGTTACCACCTATTAGAGCTGCCCCAAGCAGTGCTGCTGCTGCTTCCATTGTCTTACAGACCCGGGTGGAAGAGCTCTTTCAATTTGTTTACCCGTAGACTTCTTTTTCTCTCTAGGCTTCAGACATGATTGTTCTATATCTATCTTTTCATATTTGTTCACTTATTTCATAAATGGGGTTTTTTAAATGCTTAATATTAAAGAGTGCTTAATTTAAAAATTAAACCACACGAACAAATTAGAGAAAACTGAAATCGGTTATAAATTATTGAAGTCAGTCCAGAAGTCCTTTTGCAATAGGTTTGATGGGTACATTGTTGAAAATCAAAGCAGCTGCCATTCTTAGTTCTTCACTCTAGTGTCCCCCCATTACCATAACTCAGTTACTTTCTCTGCCTCTGATAATCTTGGGGTATCTTTCTACTTCTGTTTCAAATACCAGGCTACAGGCTCTCCTCCCACATCTCCCGGCCAAATTTCCAAGAAAGAAACTGATTGGTCAAGCTAATTACCATTGCTCTGGTATGGACATTTGTGTCAGGACATCCCATGGGCCACTTATCCACCTTGGGTCAGTGGCGGCCACAAGGTAGTTTCATGTGGTACCAGCAAGAATACATGCAGAAGGAGCCTCCCAGAAAGGGTCTGCAGGAGTGGCAGGCATTCCCAGGCATGATCATCCTCCACCAGGAAGTGACAATCCCTGTACACTGTAACCTGTACATCAGCAGAGATAACATACTGGGCACACAGTAAGGTCTCAAATATTAGTTTTAGCTGCATGGCTTAATGAAAAAGTCTCAATTCTTTTACAAGACATTTAAGTCCATTTAGGATATATCTCAATTTATCTTTCCAGTTTCATCTATTAATATATCTTCCCTTGAACACTAATAATAGCTAACACTGGGGCCAGCCTGGTGGTGCAGCAGTTAAGTTCACATGCTCTGCTTCAGCAGCCCTCATGTGCTCTGCTTCAGCAGCCCGGAGTTTGCCAGTTCAGATCCTGGGTGTAGACCTACACACCACTTATCAAGCCATGCTGTGGCAGGCGTCCCACATATGAAATAGAGGAAGATAGGAACAGACGTTAGCTCAGGACCAATCTTCCTCAGCAAAAAAAAGAGGAAAATTAGTGGCGGATGTTAGCTCAGGGCTAATCTTCCTCAAAAAGAAAAATAATAATAATAGCTAACATTTGTTGGGTACTAACAACATGCCTAGCATTTTTCTAAGAGTCTTACATGGATTCACTCATTAATCCTCATAACACAAAGTACTGTTATTATTCCTTTTTTACCAATAAGAAAACTGAGACACAAAGAGCTAAGGACTTGCACAAGGACACATAGCTAGTAAATGACTGAACAAGAATTCAAACCCAGGTAGTATAGCTTCAAAACCCAGAACTTAATCGCTAAGCCATACGGCTTGTCAAACATCAACCAATATTACTAACATAATAACAATCATAATAGGTATCATGAGTGATTACTGTAGGACAAACAATGGGTTAAGCATCCTAAGTAAATGGATGCAAAACTGACTTGTGCCTGTCCCCACTATCAGTAAGCCTTTACATCACAATTCATAGCCAGAAAGAAAAATGCTGTAACTTTTCCTTTAAGCACTGTATTAGCTGGACCCCAAATTTTGGTATACTCTATCATTGAGTTCAATAAATTTTCTCATTTCCATTGAGATTTCTTCAACCCATAAAATGCTTTAAAGTGTTTTGTTTCCATTGCAGACATTGGGGGATTTTTAGTTGTCCTGTTGGTTTCTGGTTTAATTCTATCGTGGTCAGAGAACATAACTCGGAATGGTTTCAGCGTTTTGACTGTGTTGGGGCTTTCTTTATGGCTCAGCGTACACTCGATTTTGGTAAATGTTCCACGTGCGTAGGTTTCCTCTAGTATTTCCAACTACTTCAAAGGACTGACCTTAGCTTAGAAAACCTCGAAGGTCCCTTCTGACACCAAGTGTGTGAGATTCCAAGTATAAAGTAACCGGTCAAGAGTTAGCTCTAGTTCTCATTTTCCCTCCAGTTCTCCTTTGCACCTGATTTTTCCAAATGTAACAAATATTGCTTCTAATGAAAAACAGGAAAAGAAAAAACCACTTGTATTCGCCCACACGTCCTGCGTTCTCCTCACGGCCGGGGAAGACCCGGGTCTCCGCCGGCCACGCCGCCGCACCGGCAGCGGCTCACGCCCGCGTCCGCGCTGCCGGGAACCCAGCTCCGCCGCCCGACCCGGGCCGAAGGGCGGGGCCCGCCGCGGCGTGCTGACGTCAGAGAGGGCTGCGACGCCGCCGGGCCGCCGCGGCGCTGACGGCTGGGGCCAGTCGGTGTGCGGCGCCGGGCCTGGGAAGCCGGGGCCTGTGGGACCTCGCGCGGCGTTCGCGGGCTCCGGGGCGGGGGCTGCGGCGACGAAGCCCCCTCCCCGGGGAGGCGGCGCCTGGGGGAGCTTCCCAGCGGGGGAGCGGCGGCGGCGGGGAAGGATGCATCAGAAGCTACTGAAGAGCGCGCATTACATCGAGCTGGGCAGCTACCAGTACTGGCCAGTCCTGGTGCCCCGCGGCATCCGCCTCTATACCTACGAGCAGATCCCCGTGTCCCTGAAGGACAACCCGTACATCACCGACGGCTACCGGGCCTACCTGCCCTCCAGGCTGTGTATCAAAAGGTACCGTCTGGGCGCCTCCGCGGGGCTCGCCTGCGGGGCGGGCCCGCGGCCCCTCCTCCTCACCTACACTCTTTTTGTCTTGTCTCCCTGCCGCTCTCCTCGCTTTTCTCCATGCCCCTCATTTTCCAGCTGTCCCATCCCTTTCATCCCTTTCCGCCACCTCTCTTCTCTTGTTGTCTCCCGCCCACCCCCGCCACCCCTCCGGGGTACTTGATCCACGGCATGATAATGATGGTAACACTGACCATAATTGCCAACTCTCGTGTGGCGCTTTGCTGTTTACAAAGGGCTTTTACATTCTTTATTCCATTTGGTGCTTATTGGGATACATGTTGGAACTGACCCCACTGACAGTGACCCCACTGACACTGGCTGAGCCGTACTTGACCCTGTGTATACCTAAGCTTTGTTCATTTTTAGAGCAGCCTCATCGAAATTCAAATGTTTTGGACCAGTTAAATGCGTGTATAATAGGAAACAAGTTCATATTGCTCTCTATATATATTCAGAAACCCCTGATTCATTCATTCAGCTGATACTAGGGGCCGCGCACCATACCAGGTTGTGCAAAGAACAGCAGACATGGCCCTTGTTCTCAGGAAGCTGCTAAGGTCTAGCCTGGGTGACACATTAACCAGATAATTACACTATTACATAATAAGCATTGTGAAAAACTCTGTGTAGGAAAGGCACTAAAGCAAAGAGAGTCCATAACGGGCTCCACCCTCCAGCAGAGCACTATAGAAGCATCTCTAAGAATCTCTAAGATCTCTAAGAAAGAATTTTCTTTATTTTCTAAACCTTGAAAACCAAGAGTCCCTTGAAAGCCTGAGTTTAAAAAAAAGAAACTGAAAAATTATTGTTCTGGTTCTTAGAATAGCTTTCTGTTGAAACTCACTGTATGTACTTAAATACAGGACCGCACTTGAAGAGAATTAAGATACAGATGTTGGTTAGCTCCCAGTCACTGTAGTGACAAACCCTAGTGCAAATGTGGGCTGTTGAATTGCTCAGGAAGCATTATCTGATTCTTGATCTTCTTTTTCAGCGTAGCCTTTCCCCTGTTCCTTTTGCCCTACCTTGAAAGTGTTTCTGTGACTCACAGTCAGAAGGTGACATCACTGCCCATCCCTACTTGGCTTCAATGGATGGCCCACAGGACTTCACAATTTGAATCCTAAGTACTGTTTTCCTCCCCATTGCCTCTTATGCACAAGTTATTACACAAGAAATCAGACCTGGACCCTGCTGTGGATGTGGAGTTCCACAAGGATAGAGCAGGTAGTGAATTGCCTTAAATGTTTCATAGCCACCATCAGTGGTCCTCTGCATTCTGATGTTAGGGTCCAAATCTCATGGATCAAGAAATGAAATATAGTGCTTTAGATCTTGAGCTGTTGAGTCAAAAAGATTTGGGTGTCCAGATCTGCCACCTAACAGCTGGGGAACCTTGAGCAAAAGTTAACCTCTCTGAGCCTTGTTTGCCCCAGTTGTAAAAAGGAGACTAATCACAGTATCTCCTTCAGAAAGTAATAAGGATTAAAGGAAATTATGTATGTAAAATGCTAACAGGGCCTGGTGCCTAATAAGCACTCAATAAATGGTGATTTGTTATCATCATGATCATTGATTTTGAAGCAAAACAGATGATGGTGAAGAAGATGATTACTGATTTTGAAGCTGAACAGAGTGTGGGCCTAACTCCTCAAAGAATAAGAACAGATCCTCTATTAGGGATGTTATTCCAAGTACTCTTCCCACCAGCTTAATCTTTTCCAGGTTCAGCTTTTGCCCTATCTTTTTTTTAGCTGTCAAGAGTAACCAGGACTGGGGCCGGCCCAGTGGCACAGCTTCGGCGGCCCGGGGTGCGCCAGTTCGGATCCTGGGTTTGGACATGGCACCACTTGGCAGGCCATGCTGTGGTAGGCGTCCCATATATCAAGTAGAGGAAGATGGGCACAGGTGTTAGCTCAGGGCCAGTCTTCCTCAGCAAAAAGAGGAGGATTGGCAGCAGATGTTGTTAGCTCAGGGCTAATCTTCCTCAAAAAAAAGTAACCAGGATAGATTTTGAATATAAGGAGAGGTTTTGTATGTCACACCTGCTCTGCCAATGCTCTGTTAGTTGGAAAGAACTTGCCAAGACTGTGCCTCTCAGTTCAGTAAATCAGGTTATGCCGGCCTTCACAAAATGAAAAGTTCTGAGGCAATAGGCAGAGCAGAGTGTTGATTATCAAAACAGTCCTGTGGTTCGATGTGTTCCCTCATATTCCCACATTCCTTCCCCCACCATGTAAGTAGTCTTTATATTTGATGCTTGTACAGGATAAAGCCTGAAGTTTACGATACAGTTCATTTTATGCTTGATGATCATTTGATAGTGTGATACCCTGCTATGTTTATGACGTGGGAAAGTGAGAACCATGATGACTGCTGCAAATTCAGTAGGTCAGAGTTATACAATAATGCTTACTAATATGGATTTTGAATCAGTGATGGTCAAAGACGTTAGTTTAAACAAAAAGATAAGATTTTACAAGAGAAGTGAAAGGGAATTTTAATCTTTAGCCGTGATGTCACCTTTCAATAAGTAATCAGATGAGTCCTATCCACAGCTGGAGAAACATTTCACAAAATTAGGGAAGGAGCTGGACGGACTTGTAGTAGCGTCTGATCTAGCTCCCTTGTTTTATAGTTGAAAAAACTGAAGCCAGAGAAGTTAAGTGACTTGCTCACGATCACAGAGCTAATTTGTTGCTGAGGGTGGGGGTGAAGGGTCAGTGAGCTTCTTGACTCCTGGTCCGGGTGGTACACTCTGTGCTGCCAAGACTATTTAAACTCAAATCAGTTAGTCAGGGCATTTTGAAAGAAGGCAAATAGTACTGATATTAAAAGTAACTACTGTTGTTCCTAGAAAGGATAAACTCATGCTACCTAGAAACTGCCTTGGCTTCAAAACAACCACAGCAAAGTTATTCCAGCATGCCTATCTTAAAGGACATTTCCAGTGGATCAATTTGTATTTATTCTGCTTCTCTCAAGTTCATTTAACTTTGCATTTAATGAGTACTAAAAAGGTATTTTAAGTTTTGCCTAACCTTACACTTAGCAGGTTTCCAGGTACCTATTATTGACCATCAAAGTATGCTAGCTAACATCTAGTTTTATTCTGCATATTCATGTCTGTAGACATTTAGCATCTAACCTGAACAAGGCACTGTGCTTAAACAGTGGTGTCATAAAGATGAATCGTGCCGGCCATCAGGGAGTTGATAGGCTGGAGGATGAGATGGAATTTACACATAAGTAACTCTGATACAAGGAAGGAAATGGTAAATACAATAACAGAAATGAGAACCGAAAAAGCTCTTTAGATCCTAGGATTGGTGGAGATGTGGAAAACCTTAAAGAAAGATTAATTAAATGGTATATCAAATTTAGAAAAGGAAATACACAGTTAAAGGCTTAAAGTAGCTACAATTAGATAACCCCCCAAAAATTGTCCCTAACCTTTTACATGGGGACAGTGAGTGAGCCAGTAGAATCTGAACTGCATGTTTTTTGTTTTCCAGTTTGTTTATTTTATCTAATGAGACGGTAAACATCTGGAGTCATTTGCTGGGTTTCTTTCTCTTCTTCACGCTGGGAATATATGACATGACATCTGTGTTACCTTCGGCAAGTGCATCCAGAGAAGATTTTGTAATTTGTTCTATTTGTCTTTTCTGCTTCCAGGTAGGTCATTTCACAAGCATTATTATTGGTAAAGAGAACTTTAATCAGACAAGCTTGGGCAAGTGACCTTATTTCACACCTGACACTTGATTTAAAGAGCCCCAAAATAGCATATAGGTTAGCTTATTCTCTTTCATAATATAAGCACCAAAAGTATGCTTTATAAGAGTATATTTGGATGTTATTATTAGAGTATATTTGAAATCCAATAAGGTTTAAAGATTGAGAACATTTCTTTCTTTCCTTTCCTCTTTCCATTTTTAGGCATCTTCACTTTAAGATTGATACAAGGATAAGAATCTCTGATTGTACTCTGTTTTCTGGCTGAAGTAGAACACTAGTTTCTGCTTAAAACTTGTTTGGGAAGATTCTCATCTTTTTCCAATTTGTATTTATTGTTTCCATACCAATTTTAAGGTCTTATTTTGCTGGTATTGATCTTTTCTATTGCTTTAATGTTAATTTCCTTTGGTCCATTTACACTTGCTTGGTTTCAGACGTTTTCAGTTTCTCCTCCTCTCTACCTCTCATATTTGTTAGTTTCTTAACACTTTCATTTTTCTTCAGGGATCTGTAAAAGTGCCTTTAAAAGTTACATTTAATAGTTTTTCAGACAATTCTAAAGAAAACAAATGTGGACCAAAATCCTGTTAACATTTTTAAATTTAAAAAAATGCAGAGAGTACAGAAATATAAAAACAAAAAGAAAAAGCTGTCATCCCCCTTCTGTTGCTCCTCTGTTTGAGAGGCAGATGGAGAAGTCAGCTGCATAGGTGTTGCTTTCATTATGTATCATTTAGTTTCAGACCTTCATCATTTGACTTACATTAAAACTTTGGAGTTAAACGACCAAGAGACATATTGATAACATCTTCCCCTTTTTTTGTAATTTTAGTTTCTGGAGTAATATTTTATATTTCTTTGAGGGAAAGAGTATTCTGTATTTTTGTGTTATCATTAGAAAATTATTTTTCCTTTAAGTATTTGTAAAGTATACTCTTTCTCAGGTTTAATTTTTGTCCTGATTGGAGCCTGAACATCTCTTAGAATCTGTCTCCAGTTATCTTTGGGTTCCTTTTTTTTTTTTGGTGAGACAGGTTGTCACTGAGCTAACATCTGTGCCAATCTTCCTCTATATTTTGTATGTGGGACGCCACCACTGCATGGCTTGACAAGCAATGTCTATGTCCGTGTCTGGGATCCAAACCCACGAACCCCAGGCCACCAAAGTGGAGCACACGAACTTAACCACTACACCACTGGGCTGTCCCCAGGCTCTAGTTTTAAAATAGAAATGAGTCAATCTCTTTATAGTTAAATTTTTATATGTATCTTATCGTAGACTAAATGCTCTTAATAATTACTAATAAGCAAAGCTGGTTTATACTCTACTTTGGGTTATATGGATGCTATCTACTTTGAGAATCCCACGTGTTTTCCTCTCACCCCTAGGCCTGCCCTTCATCCCTTCACTACCCAGCCACAGCTGATGTTAGTTCAGGGAATGCATATTAATATTCATATTGGCCTAAGAAAACAATGCATTGCAAAACTGAAAAGATGAAATAGTTAAAAAACTGCCAATGAAGAAACTCCCGAAGTGTTACAGTGATTTGCCCAGGATTATTCAGCAGGACAATAAAACCCCATTTTCGGAACTGCTAGCACAGTGATCTTTCTGTTATATGTTGTACAACTTGCTAAAGACAAATGAGTACATCTTCTCTACTTAAAAATACTATTTTTATTTTTATTAAATTATGTTTATAACTTGTTTACCCAATTTTCCCAAATTCTTAGAGTTAGCAGGCAGCATGGTAAGCCATAAATATATATTAATATTAATTTACATTTAATTTTTAAAAGACACAACATTGTTTCTTTTTTCACTTCTACCCACTTTATATGTTCAGTGCTTTCCTGCCAACCACATTAATAGAGTACATTCTGAATAGTAGAATGTAATTTCAGGGGTTTTGAACTTTCCCAGAGGTCTTTCTATCTTAGAGAATAGAAGAACCTAAGGCCTTTCCCAGGATTCAGTTCATTTACATTCAGTTCAGCAAATATTTCTTGAATGCCTCCTCTCTACAGCCAGGCACTAAGCTAGGCATTGGGAATACAGGGCTAAACAAAACCAACCTTCATAAAGATCAAGTCACCCAGGAGGGCAGAAGGGAGAGTGAGACAGGGCATTTAAGCAGAAAAAGTAGTTTGTGTAATGGCCCAGAAGCAAGAGACAGCTTAGCGCTTTCTGGACTTGCAGGTCTTTGTGGTTGGCTCCTAGGAGAATGGAGGAAGATGAGGCTGGGGAGATAGGCAGGAGCCAGATCCTGAGGTGTTTGGTTATCATGCCAAGGAGCTCATAGCATGATCATTATCTGTCTGCTTGAGGGAGTGAGCTAATCTACAGAAGGGAACTTCCCAGAAAACTAAAACATACTCAGTTTGCCAGATAATTTTTCAGTGAGTTTGTTAAGGAATTCTAATAGTGCATCCCTTTTAAAACAGAACATATATAGATTAACTTTTTAAAAGCTCCGTGTACTCTCTTAACACTGTGAATAACTTTCCTTTTGATACTATAATTTTTCTCTTTCCTCTTTTATTTTCCTTTCACAATGATATTAGCTTTATTGGTGTTTGTTATTATTGCTGTAAGATATACTCATGTAGAAATTCAAGTAAACAAAAAAGTGTATGGAAGAAAGTAAAAGTCACTTGAAATTCCACTTCCCAGAGGTAACCATATCTGACATTTGGGTTAAAATTTGTTTGTTTATGCACAGCTGCCTCACACCTGCCTGCCTACGTCTGAGCTGTGGTCACCTCTGCTGGCTGTTTTGTGTCATTCAACCTAGTGACAATGAGATGTTTTTCTGTCAATGAGAGTATAGACCTTGATGTTTTCTGGATTTTCTGTATTTAATCTCAAGGATAATCTGAGAAAACAGATAACCAAGCTTCTTGGAGTTATGTTTAATTGCGTCAATAAACTCGGACCTATATTTTAGTAGCCAAAGCCACAGACCAATAAGAGTTTTAGTGGATGAAGAAATAAGGTTGTGTCTGGGTACGTTGTTTTGATTGTTGATTTTGAGGCTGTGGGGACTGATTAGGATTGTTTCATGCCCAGACTATAGAATAGCTAGAGGACCATTTTTCTGCCTTAGCAGTTGCTTACAAAATGTTTATCAGTTTGACCTACTTCTGTCCCATTTTTACACCCCCACTATCACTGGCTTAGTATAGGCTCTTGTCATGGCTCCCCAGGGCTACTCCTGTAACCTCCATCTCAGCCTTTCCGTAAGGGTGAACTTAAAGTCTTCCCTAGTATCACACCTAGCCCATAATATTGATGTTAAAACTCCTTGATGTGGGAGAGGGGCAGAGCAAAATGGTGGGGTGAGCTGACCCGGGATTCTCTCCCCTCCAAAATACAACAAAAGATTGGAAGAACTGAATTTCAGAGAATAAACATAATGCCAGCTCGTTAGAGACCTACAATACCAAGAAGGGGGAGATCATAAACCCTACTTACAGCCTCGGAGGCGCTGGAATGGTAGGAGAGAACATGCTCCCTCCCCTAGAGTCTGTGATCGCTGTGGTGCAGTTCAGGAAGGAGCAGGGGAGGGCCCGCGCGACCGGGGGATCATCCAGGACTCCTGCCGCTGATTCAGTGGAGACCCGCTGACGGGGGGAGGGGGGGGGAAGCTTCCATCCGCGGGGACCCTATAAATCAAGGGCCTTGGGAGACCAGAGAACAGAACTGATCTGAACCCAGACCGGCGCGTGTGAGTAACAGCCCCTCCACCCCGGCAAAGCCAGTGGGCGCAGCCATCTTGCCCCAAGGCGGAGAGCTAACACGCCGCTCTCGACCCCCATCTAGTGGCGACAGGCTGTAACTGCAACCGAATTCTACCACCACGCGAAAAAACCGCTCCTCTACCATCCAGCAATTTATAAAAGCCCCAGACCAGAAGGAAAACAATAAAAACATAGAATTAAGTCCTGAGGACTTGGAATTAGGTAAACTAAGTGATAATGAGTTCAGAGCAGCTATAATCAAAAAACTCAATGAGGTAGAGAGAAAGATAGAGAAACAAGTCGAGTTCTGGAGTTACTTCACAAAAGAGTTTGAAATCGTAAAGAAGACTCAAACAGAATTACTCGAGATGAAAAACACAATGGACCAGATAAAACAGAATACGGATTCCCTGCATGCCCGTGTAGACACCATAGAAGAGCAGATTAACGTAATTGAAGATAGACAGGCTGAATGGCTCCAGACTGAGGAAGAAAGAGAACTAAGAATTAAAAAAAATGAGGAAAAACTCCGAGAGATAATGGATTCAATGAGGAGTAAGAACATAACGATCATAGGAATGCCCGAGAATATGGAAAAGGAAAATGGAGCAGAAAGTGTGCTTAACGAAATTATTGAAGAGAACTTCCCAAATCTAGGGATCAATGGAGAAATGAGTGTAGAGGAGGGTTTTAGATCTCCTAGATTTGTCAATGTAAAAAAGCTACCCCAAGGCACATAGTAGTAAAATTGGCAAAAAGGAAAGATAAGGAAAAAATACTCAGGGAAGTAAGAAGAAAAAAAGAGAATAACCTATAAAGGAGTCCCTATCAGACTGTCAGTGGATTTCTCTACAGAAACCCTACAAGCTAGGAGAGAATGGAGTGACATATTCAAAGCTTTAAAGGATAAAAATCTTCAGCCAAGAATACTCTATCCAGCAAGAATATCCTTCAGATATGAGGGAGAAATTAAATCTTTTCCAGACAAACAAAAGTTAAGGGAATTTGTAACCAAAAGCCCTCCATTACAAGAAATCCTCAAGAAGGCTCTCATACCTGAAAAAAGAAAAAAGGGAGAAAGGGGACACAATCCACAAACTAGGGAGACCGATGGATAGAACCAGAACAGGATAGCAAATATTCAACTATAGCATTAGGGTAAAAATAAGGAAACTACCAAAGCAAGGACGATC